TCCAAAAGTAACTAGGGCATATATTTATTTAAAAGTATTACATTATTTGGCTGTTTTATTGTAAATCTTTTTCCTATTCTTACAATTTTTTTTAATAGCTGTTAGACACTAAGTTGATGTTTTCCACCGCAACTCCCACAATCCCTTTCCTTGTCAGTCGTAAATTTTCTATGTAATTTCTTCTCAATTTCCTGTAATGTATCACTAATAATTAACTTGTGTAATTTGTGTTCAGTCACATCCTTTTTGGGGTGTTATAAGAAAATGAAAATATTTGTTAAACGTAGCCTAGAAGAAAATATGAATAGAAAAAAATAAACAAAGGAGATGATCTTCTGAATGTGAGTCTTTTAAACATGTGTACTTTTTAAAGTGTTCCCCACTCATCTGTATGAGAACAGAAGTCCAGTTCTGCACCGATACAGGATATCTGCTGCTCCAGCATTTTGGATAGGTGGCCATCAAGCTTCTGCTTAAAAACCTGTAGCAAAGGAGAATCCACTGCCTTCCAAGCAGTCTTTTCCAGATGAACAGTTCTTATCACCAGGGCATTCTTCTTAACGTTTAGGTGAAATCCCCTTTCTTATTTTGGAGCTGTTGGTTCAGATCCTAACTCCTGGAACAACAAATAAAATGTGCTTATCTATACAGTTTTTCAGGTATTTTAAGATAGCTATCATATCACTTAACTGTCATTTTTCCAGGCTAAACACTCCCAACACCTCCAACCTTTTAAAAAAATGATTCCTTTCCTCACTTCTCCAGGTCCCCTGCCATTCTTCTCTGGGTACATTTCAGTATGCCTGTTTTCATTCCGTTATGGTGCCCAGAACTGGACATAAACAGGTTAAATCCACAGTAGCAGCTGGAAGAGTTCCACTTATCTAGAGGGAGGAAGTCTTTATCATTTCTCCTTACTTTTATCAGCTACCCTGCCTTCTGAAGTGATGCTCTGGAGAGCTGTTGGCCTGGCTATAGTAGTACAAGAATTAACAGAGGGGGCTGCTGGGAAAAGGGGAATCACTAGGAACAACTTTGTATCCTCCTTCTCCAGCAGAATCTCTTGCTGGATCCCAGTGACTTCCATGAACATAAGTTCTGTCAATGGAATGTCAAAGTGGATCAAACCAATAACAGCAAATTTGAAAATATCAAAATATAGCAGAATCATTACTTGTTGTGATCTGTACACTTCTGTTGATGCAGGCCAGAATTTTGGTTGCTGCTTTGGACTACAGGTTCATGTTGAAATGCTTTATGAAAGCATCTAGATCTTTTTCCATGTACTGCTGTCAAGCCAGATGCTATACATTCTCTATTTTTGCATCTGACTTTGTATACTTAAATGAAGAATTGAACATTTACCTCTTTTCATTTTGGCTAGTCCACCATCCTGTCAAGATAATTTTGAATGCTGTTTCCATTAAGTATGCCTCCTAGTTTGAAATCACCTGCAAATTCAATGACCATTTTCTTCATTCCTTTGCTGAATAACACTGGGCCTAGAACACAACTCTGTAATTCCCCACTTGTTAATGAAGAACCACTGTTGAGCACTCTTTGGGTATGGTTTATATCCACCAAAGTTTTGAATCCATCAAACAGTAGCATTGTCTACCTTCATTTGGCCTGCTTATTGGCAAGAATATTGAAGAGAACCTTGTTGAAAGCTTTACTGAAATCAACATACGATCTACCAAATTAGTACCTTTAACCCTCCCTGCCCCCCCCCAAAAAAAAGATGACTAACAAAGGGATCCAATAGGGGATAGAGAGGCAGAAGAGGTGGTAGAAGAAACACTTCCTATGTTTTTCTGGTCTCGTGCCAGCAGAGAAGTTGAGAAGGGCCTTTTCTCCTATTTATTTGGCCTCTTGATGTTCTTACTGTCTTTCAACTTGTTTGCCATTGCTCTCAATAGGAGGGAAATAACACATATAGTTACATTATAAAGGGGCTGGTACAGTTCTAATTCCCCCATTCTACAAGATATGTCAGAGGTGTGGGAATGCTTGGATCTTGCTCAGAGCTGCTTATGCCATCCCCCCTTTTAATTCTCTTTGAAGTGATAACCAACATGTTGTGATATAAAGGAAGCTTGCAAGAAAGACTCTCCATCTCCAGCTACAGATCAGCCTCTCAGTGGGTAAAGAAGGGGCTTTGTTTACCCTATGGCCCCTATAACACCCTCACAGGGACCATAGGATTAGACCCTAAATACTTTTAAAAAGTGGAATATCCAGAATTTTATCCTCTACTTGAAATAGCATATTAAGCAAAGGCAATTAATCTAATGCAGTGGTCATACATGATTGTCAATTAGCAGCTACTGCGTACAACAGCAAAAGAACTAGGGTTTGAAAAAAGCATGAAGAGAAGCTTGCATGTTTGTTCATGCAACTGCCCAAAGGAAGGAGTGAGCAAGCGAGATAGCAAGCAAGCAAGCAGAGGAAACGAGGCACACTCAAAAGATTTTATACTCATTTAATTAATGTCAATGTAGTTTACAAACGGGAATGACAAGTACCTTTTTATAGAATATACATCGACACACAATCATTGACACAACTTGAATATCACCTTGTGCAGCTGGGAATCTTTGGGCAAAGTTAGTTCTTTTTTTCCAAGCTAACTGTGGAAGAGGAGGGAGTGGCCAGAGGGTTCTGCAAAATGTGCCTTGCTCCAAAGGAGGAAATGAACAAGTTAGTCCCTTGCATCTTCCATTCAGGTCTTCTTTCCTCTCCCTACTCTCACAAGAAAAAAAAAGCAGGGGTATTAGTTATATATGATTTTACAGATATTCATTTGGCTTAGTAGTGGTCCACAGGACCAGAAGAGGTTCTTTGCTCCCAGTGCCAATTTGCCAGGACATCAAAGCTGAGCCCTCTCAGCATAGCCTATTCTTAAACAGACCAGAGAGAAGTGTAGCTCTGCATTGTATGTCCCATCAGAGATTGTACTGGACAAGCAGCTCTGGGGAGGACACAGACATCCCCACTATGACAAATACAAGGAGGTTTAAGTGCTATGCCAGTAGCATAATCTCTTGGCTGAACAATGGGATGCTAGAAGCTTTATGGTTCTGGCAAACTGTTGTTGTCCATGGAGGGGGCTAGATCAACTCTTGCTTGAAAGGGCATTTCTCCACCCCCACTTCACTCCTGACACAAGCTATAAACGGACTTTCCTTACACTGTGTTCTTAGGCAGAACAGACAGGGATAGTTGTGGCTGGGTGCTTTAGGTGTTGCTTAGACACCTTGGAAGCTCAGAATTGTCTATTCCTCCTAAGGCAAGGGTGTGCGTAGTGGGGTGAAAAAAAAAGCAAGACTCCCGTAAGCATTTGTATTCAGAGCATACTCAGCCAAGCTAAAGGGAATATGGTACCCAGCACTGAAGCTACACCTCCCTTTGTGGTGTGATGGTAGAGACTAATCCATATCGTCAACCATTTTGAGAACAGCATGACTAGAGCTGACCAAACACTGTAGTGCAACTATGTCTTTTTACTCTTTAAAAGATTTATCATTAGATGGGATTGGCCAGAATGAAAACAAAACATTAACTTACACAAGACCACAGAGCAGCAACTCTGTTCATTCAGTTTAAAAGGTGAGTCGCAACAGTCACATTTGCCCCTTTGAGTCAGCCATTGCCTATGTCAACCATGCTGCTAGCTTCTACCTTCGTAATTCCCAGCAACCTTGTAAAAAATGGGGGCAAGGGGAATGCTATTAGCTTATTTGGCCGTGTATGTAACAATTGGAGTTGTTTGTTTCTGATTAATGCAGGTAGTGAGTAGACTGCATGTGGCTTACAGATGGGGCTATTTTCAAAATTCAGAACAGGAGGCTGGCTGAAGATTGTTAAGAATGTTGCAGAAACAAGAGGATAGAATTCATTGGACTCAGCCTTGGGTCCAGCTCCAGTACTGACACAAGCCAGAGGAAGAGAGACTGACACATGGCACTCAAAGTCAGCACACGCCCAAGTTCCTTTCTTTCTAAGAGTGTAGCATGAAGCATGTTCTCACATGTGAGGTGGGGCAACTCCAGTAATTTCACCGCAGAAGCAAACAAAGCAGTCCGGGAGTGGTTGGACATAGGAAAATAAAAACAAAAAAACAAAACAAAACAAAACCTGTCAGAGTGACACCGAAAGAGACCATTAATGAAATGCACAGACTTTCAGGAGAGATGAATGAGGGAATTCTAGAATTGCTCTGGCTATGACTGGAATACAGTTTTTTCTCTGTTTTGCTTCTCCATTTACTCTCATGGAACAGGAAAGGCTGCAGAACACAGATTGGTTAACACCGGCTCATAACCACTTGAATGCAAAATGCTTGAACAAAAGGTGGCTTTGGCTTTCAAAAAGACAAACAAACTGGCTCGAGAATAGCTTCACCAACATTGCCAGCTGCAATAGGCAAAGACCAATGTTCACTTTTTGCTATTTCATGTTAAATTCTTATCCTTTTCCACAGCTGACAATGGGGTAAAACCTTGCAAACCTGATCTGCATGAGTCTTGCTTTTCTTCAATGGAAAAACTAAAAATTGCATAAGTGGAATAAAGGATTCTATATAAATAACCCCATTAGGTATAACTAATGACAAAATCTTGTCCCTACTTCCCCCAGAAGTTGTGTAAGTTACGGGCAAAACTACGGCCATTACTAGAAGCTGTTAACTTCATATCTGAATGAGGAAATATACATCACAGAACATTAAACCATTTATATTATATATATGTATAATATATATATATATTTCTTTTAAACTAATGACTTTTAATGCCAAAACTTTGCAGAACCAAGAAAAATATGGGTTTAATGTTCTCTGTTTATTTTTTTCTCTTCTCTTTTTTTAAAAAAGTACAACCAAAGAAAACCCAAAGAAAAAAATAAAAAGGAAACAATTATTAGTATGTAATGTTGAGTCTATCCCATTTATACACAACATTGTAAACATATAGTCTATATTACATGTGCTTCATTCTGCCTTTGTGGGTGTGTGGGTGTAGGCTTTTTCTTTGACTTAAAAAAACAACAACACTAAAACACCAGAAATAAAAGGGTTAAAGAACACAAGTTACAGGCTGTAAGAGTTCCTGCAGTGGAAGATCCAACACCTTTTCAGGTTGGCTTGTGGGACTGGGATGCTTTCCTAGACAAGTCCCAGAAAAGCTTGCAAGTTGTCCACGATGAAAGCCCAGCTCTTGGAGAAATGGGCAAGGCGCAGAGCATTAGTTTGTAAAAAAGGGGAAATTCACAATAAGGATTCTGGTTTGGCCTTCTTGTGGAGTTGGTAGCGCCAATGACAGCTCTGGAAGCAGAGGCTTCGTGTGGCTCCCTCAGCCTCTAGTCCACATTTGGAGTCCCTAGTTTTGTTTTCAAGTCTCTCTTGTTGCTGCTGCTATTCCTTTCTCCTAGTCTCCTATAATACAGCAAGCTGGTCTGAGCAGCCATGTCCTTCATAAGTAGATGCGCCTGAGGTCCCCTGGAGAGGTGATGGTGTTGCACTGAGGACAAAGCTTCTTGGCACCCTACGGAGGATTAAGTGAAAGCAGAGTTATGCAGAGCAAGGAGACTGCCTCAGCCATATCACAGCAGAACAAGATACATAAGGAGGCTGTCGGTCATAACATGTTGTGTCTACTATTCACTGGAAGGAAACTATGTTCCCATAGTCCTCAGTTTAGGGAAGAAGCAGACTAACCCACCCCACATTAAGTCAAAGGAGACCAGAAAGGAGCTGACTCAGTTGACCAGCTATCCCTTTTCATTTTCAGTCTGCAAGAGAGTGGCCTAAGTCTGTGTGTATAACCAGAATGTTTTGCACTAGCTCTCAGCCTTCTTGTCTTATCAAGATTATGCAACAGTCATGGCTAGACTTCCAGAAAACCTTACTGTGCTGAGATATACTTATTCTCTCTCTGTGTGTGTATGATGCCCCTGGGTTGGGTAGTTGGGATGCCCTTGCCCTCTAGGCATTTACTCAGGAGTAAGACACCAGGCTAAGGCTCTACTCTGCACCTGTTTTTCCTCCATCAGTTAAGTACAGGCCGAATGGTTGTGTCAGTAAGGGCAATGATACAGGTAGGGAAATCAATCCAGCTCAATAAAATAATTAAGCAGTTTTATTAAAGCTAAAATAGGGCAGCGTAAAGAAAATGCACAAGAAAACAAATTCTGTACCAATCTTTCTAAGTAAGCTAGGAGAATACGTAAACTTATATCAATCTCCCTTGCTGGCTTTTAGCACAGTGTCTTGCATTGGTCAAGATGGAAGGAGAGGAATAAGGAAGAGACAACTCAACTACGTTGCCTGATTTGTTATTTGACTGGAGGTAGCTTTGCATGGCAGCAGCAATGGATTTGGTCAATGGACATCAAGTCAAATAGACAACAGATGCCCAGGGAAGAGGGCAATTAGGGACAGCATCTACCTTGGAAATGGGAGAAGTGGCGGGGATGTGCCTAATCCTTCCCTGCCAGACAACTATGTGCATTTGAGGGGATGTGATGTGGCAGGATGGTTTGCATCCAATGGAGAGCCATAATTCCAGCTAAAGCAGGGACAGCAAAAATGTCAGCTTTACCAGACTGCAAGGCATTCAGGACATGCAGCTTGTCTAGAATTCTACTGCATTTCAGTAAGTGCTGGCTCTAATGCTGCTAATCCTTCTGGCCAGAGAAAACATGAACACATGAACAGGTTATTCTACAGGCTTGGAGAACTCTAGTTGGGACATGGAGAAATGGAGTGGCAGATTTCCCACCACATCACAAGCCCTGACAGCTCATGTAAGTCAGGATAGAAGATGTGCAGAACAGTTTTAATGGACTTTTCAGACTGGAGAATTATTCATTTTAAATTTGCTTCCCCAGAGAGGCTGAGTGGAAGGCAACTGTAATAGCTCCAGGACAGCACAGCTGATGGGCTTAATTTGGACCTATTTTAGAGAAATGGGGCAACTTTGGTCATCATCCCCATCAGAATCTCCAGAGGGCACAGAGGGAGCGTCTATGCTCCTCTCTGCTAGCAAGGAGGCACCTCTACCACACCCTAACCAACAGCAGCATCAAGAGATTAGGACAGCACTCTCAAAAACCAAACAGAACTGGACTGGGGAATAACATATCCCAGAACTCGGCACACCTCATCCATCTACAGTGAACTGATTTACTGTGGCTTAAGTGAGCTGCAATGTGTGCCAGGAGGGATCTGAATACTCAACACCTGGCTGTAACTCCTTATGTTGTAGGAATCTGAGTGGGAGGGATTAAGACAGGGTTAATACCCTCACTTAACCCAACAGCAGACCATGGGTTACACCAAAGTTGTTCACCCTTGCACAATCCCACCACTTGGATTTGCACAATGTGACAAGCAATGGTGGGGTGCTGAATATTCAAATCCTTCCCAGAATGTTCAACTGTCCATCGTTGCTTAAACTATGGTGAGCTGTTTTGATTATGCCAACCGGGTCAATGTCTCATGAGACCAAACTGCATTTTTTCCAACCTATACCAACCCTTGAATTAGGTATTTAACCCTACATAGCAAAATAACTAGTTGCACCCAGGATGTTAGCTCTGGATATAGGAGACTATCTCTAATCCTTGATAATTGGATAATCTTGTATAAAATTCTTAAGTCTAGTCTGTACTAGAGAGTTGCTTGACAGTAACTGAGAGAAGTATAAAGCACTGAAAAACTGTAATTGGTATATAAATGGTAAAGAAGACACTAGAATAAAGAAAACTGAGTATGTACAATTTATTCTGAGGGCCCCACCCCCACAGTCACACAGGGAAATGCCAAGCTACAGGATCTGATTACATCCAGGGCCATGGCTTAAGAGAGACGGAAGTTTAAGGCACTCCCAGGGTCATTCTTCCATTTAAACATTTTCTCAGTCCTACATAAAGCACTCGTTACATGAGGCAATTAAACAAGTCTCACACACATGCACTGGCACAAAGCCAAAGAAAAAGAACTTCCTTCCCCCAACACCATCCCGCTCACCTGCCAGCTGGGGTTACTAAACTTTTCCCTTGAAATAAAAAATACTGTGGAATAATAAGCCACACCTGTTGTACATGGAAAAAAATCTGAAATGTCCTCCTGCTCCTTTCATCGTGGCCCCATGGAAAAGCCTTGATGGGTAACAGCAGTGTTTGCTGCACTGAAGGCCACCTCAGCTTTTCCGTTATAAACCCCAGTTTTCCAGGGTTTATAAAACCCGGCTGCAAAATGTAGCTTCAGGGCTGAAACATAGCACCAAAAAGGAATGATGAAGAGAAGGTTTTATTTGCCCCCACGCATTCTTAATTAAAATTTGGCAAGTGATTGATCTAGAATGTGGGCTAATCACTTTGGGGAGTTTGAAAAATAACGAGTACGACCCACTTTGCAAAGTCATTATATCTCACACCATGTCAGGAAGGAACAGAGCTTTGAGAAAAGGTGAAGAATTTTGCTTCAAACTACAGAAAACTGAACACTTGCAGCTCAACAGAATTTTAAATTATGTCTAAGAAAGAGTGGGGGGCTTTACTCTTGGAGATTAGGAAGAAAAACAAATTTCATTCAAAGGCTTAAAGCTCATCAGTTCCCTGGCCCTGTCCAAAAAACATATGCAATCTTCACCATGATAGGGTGGGGAGAAGAGGGTACACATGCCAAATGTTCTTTGATATGTTAAGTCCACAAGATTCTGGAGGGGAAGGGAGCACAAAGATTTCTAACACCTGAGCTATACTATTACTCAAGTCCGCATAAGATTTACAAAGGGGGAGAGAGAAGAGATGCAAGGGAAAAATCATGAGAAGATGAAAGCTAGGTAACACAGCTGGTGCTTGCAAGAACCTGATCCGTTGTCACCTAAGGTGAGCACAGTGGCTTGTCTCTACTGGTCACCCTCTTTTTTTTCTGCCTTTCTCTTTGCATATATCATTAGTCTCTAGACTGTAAGCCTGCAGCCAGGAATTACGCTGTTTTTAACTTTTGCATAGCACTTTGCAATTTCAGGCACTTAATACATTTACTATCAAAACAACTCACCAATAAATGATGCAGCTATACAATCCATGGAGATGTTTCTCTTGTTTGGGCTTGGACTGCATGCTGTTCCATCATTTGGAATTTTTCACAATTGGGAATGTTGGGACAATGACTGGTACAAGTACATTGCAAAGCTGATTAAGCTGAATCACACTGAGCTCTCTACCCTGAGCTGGAGGGGCTCTCCAGAGTCTTTGACAGTAATCCGAGCCCTGCTTTCTTGGATCCTTTAACTGGACATGTTAATGATAGAAAATGGGACCTTCTGTAAAAAAAAAGCTCGTGCTCCACCAGTGAGTCACAGCCCTCTTCACATGTATCCTAATGCTAAATGCTTAGTAAAAAATACATGCTGAGATCCCAGAAAATTAAATTCTGTACTCCGCAGCACACCATTCTGTTAAAAAATTAACACATTTAAAAAACACAATGTGCCATCAGAAGATGAGAGAGAAAAGCTATACAATGAGAGTTTTTAAAGATATTCCCTGACAGGTTGGACACTTCTAAGCACCAATGAGAACTGATTAGGACTCGAAGGGCCAAGATTAGAATCTCCAAATTACAATCTGTAGACCAAGTCAGAAGAATTCAAGGATTTGGGAACTTTTTAAAAACAGTTTTTTGTCTTCTAAAAACCACTCTTGCATGTTTGGTACAGGCATATGTAAACAGGGTCCAAAGCTTGGCTCAGATGCACCAGCCTAATATTATTTAGGGCCAATCCATAAGACCCCGAAGGCATGCTGAAATGGGAGTACATGGGAGTACACTGGAAAGATAAGGACGTAAGACTGTTTCACTCTGTATTCAAGTTTTTATTTTATTCTACAAATTTAGAAAAAAACAGACATATATATACACACACAACTAGTTTTCCTATAATTAAGGAAAACATGAAAAATGAATACATTTGAATTTCGCAATATCTATAAACAATGAATAGGGATATATTCCTCATTCATTGCAAAGATGCTAATCCAAAAATTAATAAAGTTTACAATTTCCCTACAAACAGCTATATCCCAGATTCTGTGAAAGTCCAATAGGTAAAGCTGTTTTCATTTTCCAGTATAGTGTTTGACAATTTAGCTGCCATTAATAAATTCAAAATAAATGCTGCATCAGTTATCCCTTCCAAAAAATATAACAGTACTCTTGGAGGTTCATTTGGATTATAACCTGTAATTTGTTCAACATAATTGCCAAAAAAATCTTTAAAAATTTGTCACAACTCTGAAATATATGCAAGTATATATAAGACACATGGAGAAGATAAGGTTGTATTGCTGCTTCAAAATGCACACTTCTCATTTTGAAACATTTTACTGGGTCAGTAGTACCATAGTACAGGACCTGTGCCTGTTGTAATATCAGGACAAGGATATGAACTGAACAAAGTCACAACACTGCCTACATTATGAGTTCAGGTTCATGAAAATCCTGCGAAGGAGGTATGCTGGTATTTGAAAAACA